ACTGATGTACAATATAAGGTGACCCCTGGTCCCCCTACTGATGTACAATATAATGTGACCCCTGGTCTCCCTACTGGTGTACAATATAAGATGTCCCCTGGTTCCACAACTGATGTACAATATAAGTTGTCCTTTGGTCCCCCTACTGATGTTCAATATAAGGTGACCCCTGGTCCCCCTACTGATGTATGATATAAGGTGTCCTCTGGTCCCCCTACTGATATTCCCTACTAATGTACAGTATAAGATGTCCCCTGGTCACTCTGCTGTTGTACAATATAAGTTGTCCTATGGTCCCCCTACTGATGTACAATATAAGATGACCCTTGGTCCCCCTGCTGATGTATAATATAAGGTGTCCTCTGGTCCCCCTACTGATGTACAATATAAGGTGATCCTTGGTCCCCTGCTGTTGTATAATTTAAGGTGTCCTTTGGTCCCCCTACTGATATCCCCTCCTTATGTACAATATAAGATGTCCCCTGGTCACCCTGCTGTTGTACATTATAAGGTGTCCTATGGTCCCCCTACTGGTGTACAATATAAGATGACCCAAGGTCCCCCTGCTGATGTATGATATAAGGTGTCCTCTGGTCCCCCTACTGATGTACAATATAAGGTAACCCCTGGTCCCTCTGCTGATGAATAATATAAGTTGTTCTCTGTTCCCCCTACCTTGTACAAAATAAGGTGACCACTGGTCCCCCTACAGATGTACAATATAAGATGACCCCTGGTCTCCCTACTGGTGTACAATATAAGGTGACCCTTGGTTCCACAACTGATGTACAATATAAGGTGTCCTTTGGTCCCCCTAATGATGCACAATATAAGGTGACCCCTGGTCCCCCTACTGATGAATAATATAAGGTGACCTCTGGTCGGTCCCCCTACTGATGTCCCTTACTTATGTACAATATAAAGTGACCTCTAGTCCCCCTACTGATGAACAATATAGATGACCCCTGGTCCCCCTAGGTGTCCTTTGGTCCCCCTACTAATGTACAAAATAAGGTAACCCCTAGTCCCCCTACCAATGTACGATATATGGTGTCCTCTGGTCCCCCTACTGATGTATAATATAAGGGTACCTCTGGTCCCCCTATTGATATACAATATAAGGTGACCTCTAGTCCCCCTACTGATGTCCCCTACTGATGTTCAATCTAAGGTGCCCTCTGGTCCCCCTATTGATCTAAAGTGTAATATTAGGTGTCCCCTGGTCCCCCTACTGATGTACAATATAAGGTGACCTCTGATCCCCCTACTGATGTACAATACAGGGTTACCTCTGGTCCCCCTATTGATGTAAAGTGTAATATTAAGTGTCCTCTGGTCCCCTACTGATGTTCAATATAAGGTGACCACAGGTCCCCTACTGATGTACAATATAAGGTGACCTCTGGCCCCCCTACTGATGTTAAATATAAGGTGTCCTCTGGGTCCCCTACTGATGCCCCCTACTGATTTACAATATATGGTGCCCTCTGGTCCCCCTATTGATCTAAAATGTAATATTAGGTGTCCTCTGGTCCCCTACTGATGTTCAATATAAGGTGACCACAGGTCCCCCTTCTGATGTACTATATAAGGTGACCTTTGGTCCCCCTACTGATTTCCCCTACTGATGTACAATATAAGGTGTCCTCTGGGCCCCCTACTGATGTACAAATAAGATGATTACTGGTCTCCCTACTGATTAAGAGTATGAGATAACTTTTGTTCCCCCTTCTTATGTAAAGTGCATTATAAGGTTTCCTCTGGTCCCCCTACTGTTATTCAATTTAAGGTGACCTCTGGTCCCCCTACTTATGTACAATATAAGGTAATCCCTGGTCCCCCTACTGATGTACAATATAATGTATCCTATGGTTCCCCTACTGATATACAATATAAGGTTACCTTTGGTCCCCCTGCTGATGTACAAAATAAGGTGGCCTCTGGTTACCCATATGATGTAGAACAGAAGATGACATCTGGTCTCCCTTTTGATGTATAATATAATGTGACCTATGGTCGCCTTAAAGATGTACGATATAAAGTGACCTCTGGTCTTATTAACTTTTTATTACCTCTGGTATTCGCATAAAGATTATGGAAAAAAGCGGAAGTCTTATATTGTCCATCAATAAGGATTTCATACTTCACAAATTGTAGTATATGAATGAGACAAAGGTAATCATATGTTGTACATTATTACTATGTTATTGAAAGTTGTAAGTAGGCAATAATTTAAAATTATGGTATGTGTAGAATTATTTTTCAAATCCTCTCAAAAAAAAGAACTGCGACCCTAATTTTTTTACCGAGGAAAAAGTGGACAATTTCTCCGAATTCTCTAAATGTACATGCATGTAATTGGAAGTTGGATGTTTGGTCAACTTGCTTGTCTTGAAATACAGTATATGTATCCCAAAGTTAAATAACAGTTGGTGTATTTTTTAAATTTTATTTCCTTTTTTATTGTAGTTTTGATGGGTTTATGAATTTGATGTGTTAATTCCAGGGAAAGGGGATGAGAACTCCATGCAGCCTCAAACTTTGAAATACAGGGTGTACATCTTCTTTGTAAGATAAATAAAAATCAGGGGTTTCCGACAAAGAGTGTTAAAGTGATGAGGTCGCCTATTTAAGCATGACCTGAAAGGAAGACAAAAGAGACATTAAATAATTTAGTAACAAATAATTATTCCATTATGTTAAATGTTGGTGAAAAGTCCGAGCGAAATGAAAAGGAGGTGGTAGGGGGCAAAATCCCCCCCCCTGCTTGTTAGAGATCTGCGAATGCAGAGACTGGACGTACGTCGTTTACTCTGAGTCGCTTACTATTAGTAAGAAGATCAGAGGTAACGCACTGTGTTATATAGATACTATAACCTTACATGGAATAATAAATTCATAGGGGAGACCACAGGTCACCCAACATAATCCATAAATGTTAAACTCTAATATATCATATATCTTATAATATTGCGGTCAATGTTGCTCACCACCCCCCCTCCCCCTCTTTGTTTTCTAATACCCATCACAGATGGTTATTCCCGTGACAAAAATAAAATTTCTGGTTTTTTTTACGCTGAAAAGGCTTCACAGTATTACGATTTATTCTATTTTCACTTTACGTAAGCAACGCACTACATTTTGTAGCGGAGTAAACAGACCCGATAGACGTGAACTGCGCGGGGGACCTAAGGTCCTAGTTCAGCGTACGTTTTATCCTTTTGCGTACCAGTCACAATCCGCTCGATCTCAGGGTCTGCCCTGGTGTCAGCGTGGTGGACAGCGGTTAGGTTTCTTCTCCCCCCTCTGCCCTGCTGCTGCCTGGCTCCCTTGGTCAGCTTGTTTGCCCTGATGGACTTGGCGGAGACTTGGGACTTTCTGGCTCTAATGGGTGGCATGATTTTTAGATTTTTGCTGAACCGTTCTCGGAGGCTTTAAGTACTTCAAAACAATTATCAAAAGTGCAGAAACGCTGGGAAAGCTATCGAGCAAGAGGAGGAAAACGCCACGTTCGCCCCTCTTTTATACTCGCGGCAATCGAGGGAACGTATCAAAAGACCTACCTCCTGTGTTTTTCGGAAATCAATTAAATGCGTTTAATTAGCGATTGCTTTAAATGACCTTATTGAAGCAGCAAGTCTGGGACATGGTACATGTAAAACAATTACTAAATTCTGCAATATTCTGCAATATATTTGATTGTGAGGATGTGTAGGTGTCTTCTTATGAAAGGTTAATGTTGTTATTTTCAAATTGTACAAGTTTAGACAGCATTTACATATAATATTGTCAGTTATAAATCTCATTAAAAAAAACGACCCCATCCAAAAGAAATAATACAACAAAAAATACCAAAAAAAAAAAAAAACAAGATTAAAAAAGTCTTCAATAGGACTAAAACACCGACCATATTAGAGGGGGTATCACATGCCTATGGGAAGTAAGCATCCCCTGTCGACTGATCTTGCTTGCCGTGAGCTATATGTGTTGATTAGGAAGATGGAATACCTCGCAGATATTTTTAGTTTAAAAACAGTGTCACAAGAAATTATAGTAAGAAGTTATAGTCTTTAAAACTATTGCCAAACGATAGTTGTTACAAAATCCCCCCCCCCCCTTCCAAAAAAAAAAAATAATAAAATAAAAAAAGACAATAAAAAATATGATTTCTATCACATCAACCATAGCAGCTGTTAAATTTGCTGAATGTTGACTTTTGATGAGGTTGAATCATTATATTCAAAATTACTAAATTGTCGGTAGCTTGCCCCAGCTTAAGAAGAAGTGAGTGCACGCCTATAAGCGTCGAATAATTTTGAGACATAACACCATATGCAGCTTTAAATGCAATATTAAAACATTAATAAGGAAATATTACAATCAAATAGCTGAAGTCAACCCGTGTGTAGTACAATTAAGGTATAACTTTAGTTTGGAACTGTGTCATTAATCAGTAAAGCATCTGAATATGAAAGAAACGTAGCAGGCACTTCAGTACCCTTGATTTATAGATCACGTTGAAATATAGGATTATTATATGAATGAAATTATCATTATTTATTGTTTCTACGTCATCGATTTATGTTAATGCTGAGTTGAAGATAAAATCAAGTATAGGAATGTCTGAATTCTAAAAGTCTAGATTTTCATATATCCTACTAAGATATGAATAAGAAATAAAACAGGGAAAATAAAAATATCGGTTTTCACTTAGCAACCAGATTTAGATACCATACTAGGAAAAAATTTGAACAAAAGAGTAACCTGTCATAACTTGGCGCTTTTATTATTTGTTAGGGAATGAGTGTCAATAAAACGAGAAATATATAGTAAATATGACGTACTTTATTCTACAAATAATTGTTCACTTAGGGAAATAGAAAGAAGGAAATATATTGAAGTACATGTAGCTAAAGACTAAATTTCTTCAGTAATCATTGCAACTATCCTTATTTATATGTTCCTATCTATAACACAAAGTCTCATAAAACGTAGATAATAACTGGGAATATTTTGCCTTCTGACTTCGTTCAGAAAAAAGGTTTTTCTTAAACAAAATCTTATTACACTTAATGCATACATATTATTCCGTATCAAACATGAAAAGTACTAGTGGAACTGCTTTAATTTATTTTCTCGGTGAAATTTCATTGATTGGGAAAATAGCAGAGGCTTATGGTAAGATTAATTACTTTTTTACGTTTCTTTTCAGTGCACGACTTTCATTTTTTTTTTGTTGTTGTTGTCTTTTCTTTTACACATTTTTATCAATGAAGTACATGTCCTTGGTAACAGCTATTCTACACATAAAAGTCTGTCGAACAATTCTATATTTTACTTCTGTCACTAAGAGCTTCGCTTATATTGCAATTTGAAATACATATACTTTTAAGGAAATTTGAAAATTGAAATCATCTTTTTTCATTTTTTTTTTCTTGTAATTATGTTGTTTTAATCAACTCAAAGAAATGAAACTGCTATTTTTCAACTCATAAATTAAAGAATTTGTCAAGGCAAAAATGACCATTCAATTCTAACCTCCCGTTTTCATTTTGTCAAACAGAACACTACCATATCAGGAATTTGTAATCAGATGTTTTCAAGAAAATATCTTTTATATATTTTCTGGTTTAATTAGTTCTTAAGTAAATTTATAAAATGGTCTGCTGTTGATACAATAATACCTCAGTCAATACCTTTTTTCTTTGGCGTTTGATACTTTGGTCTTTGTATAGGTTTTACATGTACTTTTTTAAACATTCACCTCATTGTCATAAGTAAGCTTTATACACGTAGTACATGTAATATCTAATAACTAAATTGGAATAAGATATAATATTTCCGTTGTATTTCTTCATTTAAAGTTGTTATTACGTATACTTACGTAGATGTATTTATGATGAAATCGAATATCATACGGAGATAAACAATTAAAAGGAAGTTTCAAAACATACGAAAAAATAAATATATGAGTCTGAATTTAAATTAGGTCAATAGCTAAGATCTTCAGACTTTTTTTCTGCATTCAATTTTCAGTATGAAACAAACATATTATCTAAGTATTTTTGCTCTTATTGCAAATTTATATGTAAAGTCCCTTTTGTAACAAAATAAACAGTTACTGTGAATATAAGATGCAGAATAAAAATTTACATGAATAAGCAATAAACAATTATTTTTCTGAAAAAAAAATCTTAAAAGTCTCATTGTATAAAAATACAAATTATGAATTTCCTTCTTTTTATTACCCTGAAAAATCTAGCAGAAACTTTCAGATTTGTTTCATTTTCTATTTTCCTAAGATAATCTTGCTTTCAGAAAACCAACATGGAAGGAACACGGTATAATTATATACAAAATTTAATACTGGTATATGAATCCACTTGAATATGAATATGTTTTTTTTTGTTGAAGACATTCTTGCTTTGGAGAAAGAAACATGCCAGGAGCATTGGAATATATACAAATACTTGTACATGTTTCCACATTAATATGAATGTTTTTCTTTTTTTTAAAGAAAATCTTGCTTTACGGAAACAAACATGGCAGCAGTATCCTTATATGTATAACGACTGGCCCACGTATTTAGATTTACTACTATATAATTATCCAGCGGATAAAGCCGTGGATGGGCTGTTTTCAGACCGGTCTAATTCTGGTGGACAATGTACAATATCTGGCAATAAAGAAGGAACTGCAACCTGGCGGGTGGATCTAGGAAAAGTTCTTAACATACATCATATTACTATCTATTACAGGACGGACAACCTTCCATGGGGTACAGTATTGTAGTTTATTGTAACAATATAGAAAACAAAACATTTTTCCATATTAATTTTTATAAAAATCAAACTAAAGATTACTCTTTAAAAAAATCATTAACTTAGTTCATTAGCAGATAACCGCTGTTTTTAACTATGTTATATTTCGAATATTTTCGTATTTTATAGATTTTTTAAATTATATTTTTACCAGTGAAATACTGTAATTTGTCCATTGAATAAAAATGATATTCTGTCATAGTTTGAAAAGATATCTAAATGATGTTCTTTCTCAGTGTAACAAATATCAAACTCTCGATTTTTCTTCCGAAAACAAAGATTCTTGTATCTTGTAAAAAAAACTCCTTTGTCCGTTAGAAAATGAATAAAACATCGAATAAAATGGTCAATGTTTAGACAAATATGCTGTTGAAATCCTTGTTAACAACATTTTCAATCTCACAACACTTAGCTTTGACGTCTCAACTGTTCAACTTTGACGTCATGTAGCCTATGACAGCATTGGAAAAAGACAGAGTAGAGGGAAAAATCAAAGAAAATTAAGAAAAGGAAAATGCAATGTTTTATAGTTGAATATGGAATGAATTTCAATCGTAAGACAGGATTTTTTTGTTACTGCTTCGCGCTCGTAAAAAATATAAAAGAAAATTTCACAAAATCCTTTCCTATTCGTGAAATAAATTTCATATTCAACTAAAAACATTGAATATCCTCTAATTCTTTTATGTCTTACTTTTTCAATAGTCTATCATCAGCATTATGTTAAGGTCAAGATCTTGTAAATGAAAAGTGCCTACAAATTTAGCATTTGAGATATAATTTCCTTTATTGATGCTTTACAATTTTAGCTTGGTCAAATAAGGTGTTTCTTGGCATAATTTGTAGTCAAACAAAATGAAAAAAAACGGTATTTCAAAATGTCATTTCAATGAAAAATTAAGAAAACCAGTCATGAAAATGGGAGTTTTTTTTCATATTGGACAAAGGAAATGTATCCAGATTGTCTACAGTTTCTCAGAAAAAAGATAATTAGAATGTTCATTGCCTCTTCTTTAAATCAATATCAATTTTAATTTATATATATTTATATTTTTCATATGATTTTCAATTGAATATGATGAATATACCCTATTTTCTACTTAATTCTGCTAACGCCATAAATTACGGATAAAGAAAGTTGAAATTGATTATGATGTCATAATGGATCTAGTACCCAAAAATTGGCCAAAATTTATTTACTAGATCTCGACCTCAATAAAAATCAGAATATTATCTAAAATTTTAACAGCCAATAAACATTGAATATGGGAGCATGACGTTTACTTTCGTACTTTTTACTTATTTGATTTGTAACATTTAATACTACGTAAATGTTTTTGATAATTTCATCACAGTTTGTGAACGCACGGTACATGCACTGTAAGTTTTTCTTCACAATTTCAAAGTTAATTATATTCCAAAAGGCCCTGACAATGGATACACAACCCGATTCCTAGGATTTTCGCTTTTTATATCAAACACAACCAACAAGGATGACGGCTATCTATGTTTTAAAGACACAAACTACACTAGAGAAACGATACCGAGTAATATTACAATAGAATGTATAAAGCATGGAAGGTACGTCATCTACTATAATGAGAGACTCCCAGGAGTTACCTACCCTGAAGGATATTCTACATACGCATACAATGAACTCTGTGAAGTCAAGGTTTATGGTAAGGGATGATAAAATACAAACCTTATTCTCTATAAGGAATAACAATTAATTAACTTTACATTGTACTATGTAAATGGTGCATGTTTTTGAGTGTAACAGTTGAAATTGACACCCCATGGAAAACCATTGTCAACCAATGTAATAAAGAAAAGCTGAACCTAACATTTAGCTGTTATCTAATCTCACCAAGAGATCTCTGATCGATTCATTGAGTGATTCTAGATCATATAAAGTTAACATTCGAATTTGTTTTTGCAAATACGCTTGACAGGAAATCGAATACCGGTATATTTGGTCATTTAAAGTATATAATATTCAATATAGGATGTCCTTCCTTTGTTGTATACGGAGAGAATTGTACATTTCCGTGTTCGCAGACTTGTCTTGAAGGACGCTGTAACATTGTGGATGGGACTTGTTTTGGATGTATTGCTGGACAGAAAGGTTCACGATGTGAACAATGTACGTAATTACAAGCCAATCCTGAAAAAATGGTTTGGTGAAAGAGAGAGAGAGAGAGAGAAAGAATACATAATTAATGATTTGTGCTTTAATAAAAGTCCTAAAATCGTTTTTTGGTGATGATTATAACTCGCTTATGATTAGGTTTTTATGCGATGTAAAGGTAAAAGCATGATATGACTATATCTGTTACGACAAAGAATTATAAATTTCACCGATTCAGCAATACATTTAAACTCACACGTATTACTTTAGTTGCATTCTCCTTCATAGTTAGGTTTAAGTATATCACAGAGTAATTGCCTATTCATTACATACGTGAAGAGCATTTTCAAGGAAGGAACACTTTTTATAATGATGTAGACTACTGACTTAAATATATCGTTTATATAAATAATTGAATACTGTTGTCGAAAAAATCAATTAACATGTTTGCAAATTCAATCTATCGTATCTTTAGGTCTATGAAAGTATGAAGTTTTTTACACTTTTTAGGCCATAATCTTTCCATTCAAATATTTACAGATTTTTCATTTATCCGTTCAGGACAATATAGCAAATTAAATATTCATGTTGTATTTAAGTTTCTTTTCGTCTTTATTATTTAGTACAGATTTGGTTAATACAGATTTATCATGCAGAACCAACATCCTTTTAAAGGACAAAAAATCAATAAATATCTATTGTAGGACAGTCAAACACATTTTTTTTTTTTCATTTTTTCTGATCAAAAGAATTTATATTAAAGTAATATGATGTATATTAATTTCATATTCTATTAATAGTTTGTGACGGTGGTAAATTCGGAAAAAACTGTGCTCAGTCATGCGGGTTCTGCTTCGGAAATGAACCATGTCATCATATCAACGGGTCATGCTTGAATGGCTGCGAAAGAGGTTACCATGGAAACAATTGTACACAAGGTTAATTAATCAATGATCTAGAGTAAAAGCCAGTAAATTGTCTCTTTCATGTCCATCACCTTACGTGTACCTTTCAAAGTAATTCAAAATTTTAAAATAAGAACTCGGTCAACTGATGATAATAAAAAAAGGGGAAAGACACTAAGAAGAACTATTGAACCTTGCTTAGCAAAATTACATAAACTTTGTTACTCTTTTTAAGGCCTCTCTTCTTTTTACTTTTAGTATGTTCTGAAGGGTGGTATGGATACAACTGCCTTGATATGTGTGACTTCAATTGTGGAGAGCCGAAAAGATGTGACAGGAAAACAGGACAATGTCAAAATGGGTGTCAGGCAGGGTGGAAGGATATAAAATGTGACAAAAGTAAAAAAAAATTGTTTTATATATTACATGTACATATATGTATAAAATTGGAAGTATTTTATAGAAAACTCAAAATAAAACAAAACTAAACTAAAAAAAAATATGATGTTATACATACTGCAGATTCCTAAATACATGTATACGCGTGGAATTAATTATCTCGTAATTTCGCAAGAAGCACCACACACGAAATCAAAATACTCGCCTTTATTTTTATGGTGCTGAAATCTATGTAAAATCTCTTGATCAATCCTCCATTTGCAAATTATTATTCTCGCGATTTGCCGTTGAAGAGCCCATTCGCGATAAGTACTCGCGAAAAATAAGGAATCTACAGTATACATGGACTTAAGATATATTTGATCCCTTGTTTCACAGAAACATTTTTACATGTACCAAAATTACTCATTTTTGTGCTTTTCTTCTCAAATAATAAGTTCTGAAAGTTGAACAATAATGCACATAACGAAAAATATTAGACATCTAAATTTCACAAAAGAAGGAATAATATTTGCAAATTAACAAACATATTAGCCTAAAAATTAGTCTGAAAACAAACTGTTCATCTCTTTAGAATGCAACGGAGGTACATTCGGACTAAACTGCAATCAGTCATGCGGGTCTTGTCTTGATAAAGAACAATGTCATCACATAAACGGGTCGTGCTTGAATGGATGCGATAAAGGTTACCATGGAGACACTTGTACGCAAGGTAGCAAATTAAAGCTCATATGCATTAGAAAGTACTATTTTCATGAAAATTTAAAAAATGCAAATAATATAATCAGATATTTCTTAATGTTGACACAATGCAATTTACAGATGTGAATACCTTATCATATTTGAGTTTGACACCATGGTGAACAGATGTGTACATGCGATATTTTTTAGTCCTTATCGGTGAAACCGGAGGGACTCTACGTTTTCTCAGAGCCTGTCCGCCCGACCGTCTAGCTGTCATTGTACCTCTGATTGTCTGTCAGTCTATCCCACTTGGTTTGCCGCCATTTTTTTTCTTAACACTTTCAGATTTTGATCTGGTTTTTGGTACATAAATTTATCTTGATGAGTTATAAGTCAGGTTTTAATAGATATTTGACGAAATATTGACTTTTTCAATTTTCAAAGGTTTCCCGTATTTTTTGAAACTCTTGTAGATATTGAATTGATTTTTGGTAGGTGACTTTGCCTTGACAAGTTAAAGATTAAAATTGCCTTTTTCCCTTTGATTTTTTTCCCTGTATTTTGGCATTTTTTCGAGTATCTGTTTAAATTGGCGTTAGAGGACTAGTGTTGTTAATGCAATACTCTCAGAATGATTATCATCAATTATAGAAAGTATAATTGTACACAAACATACAATACCTAAGATACATATAATTGTTTTCATTAAATTTATTTGATATTATCAAGATTACTCAGTCTATGAAAAAGTCATATCCCCAAGGTTAGAAAAATATTATCCCAGAAGAGCAGCAAATATTTACAGCTTCGCGCATTTTTTAAACTCAATGGCTTTCCCACAAATTAACGTCACATATTACATAACTATACTTTAATACGTATCAATGCTATATTGTATAACGAGCAACAAAATATATTTTACGAGGGTTGTCCCATAAAATCGTGGACAAAGCGCTTTTCTCGAAAAGTAATAGGCGCACTAAGCTGAAATTTTCAGTAATGTTTATTCATAATTTTGTATCATAATGTTTTTGATTATATATATGCAAAAATAAAGATTTTATTCTGCTTGAATATGCACAGGGTACGGTCCTACAGCGCACGGTAAAAATAACAAGGTTTTATTAGAGAATATACAAGTATTATTTCGAATAAAAGTTTTCAATACATCAGTTAGGATAAAAATTTATTAGATTCCTTACTCAATTCTCTTGTCTTTTTGAAAATTTCAAGGCATTTGGTTAATTTTTATCATTTTCCTGATAAAATGGGAAAGTTAAATACAATACATGAAAAATGGCGACCTTTGATGAAATTACGGCGTCATGAATTTGGTTAGATTTGTTGTAATGACACCTTAAGAGACTTTAAATAAAAACAGAAAAGAAAATTGACAAATATCACCAGATTTTAAAATATAAATTAATGGAAGTTTTCTTAGCGAAGTTTCTTTATCGAGTCTAATACAAAACATACGGACAGACTGCCATTGTAATATCAAAAGACGTTGTCACTGTCGCCGTCTTTGAATTTTGTTAGTTGAATGATGGTGAAAAATTCCGTAACTTGCTAATAAATCTTTCCGGGCAAGTGTGCCACATTGGTTCCTTAACTGGATATAAACACTCACGTATGTAAATCAGTAAATTTTCTAAATGTAAATTGGGGCTTATCCAACTTTATTTTTAGCAAACATGAAACGTGACGTTATAATCCGTGCGCCGAAGGACGATACAGTACATAACATAAAATATCAAAATTTGTTTATTTATGCATATATCTATTTGAAATTTGCTATATATCTTACATTTTAAGTACTTTTGAAATGGCTTTCAGAAAACATGATGATTAATTTTTATATTAACTTGTCCACGATTTTACGGGAAAAAATATATTTTATAAGTGGTGTTTGACTTTTTGACTTATTTTAATTCTAATTTTGTTTTACTAATAAAAAATACAAATTACATACACATGTATAATACTTGGTAAAACGTTGATATACATTTAATGACATTTTATGAATATAACGAACAGTATTCAATATCAAAGTCCATAAAACAATACAAATTAAGAGCAGAGCAAACACGGACCCTAAAACCGTCAGAGGTGGGATTAGGTGCCATGAAGGAGTGAGCCTCCCCTGCCGACTGGTCACACCCGCCATGTGGTCCTTGTTATGATCAGGAAATAACGGGAAAATCCGTCGCCAATTCGGTTTTTAAATAATGGACTAACAATTAGTATGAAAAACGTTCGTCAACATTTGACTGGGTCATTGAATCGACCTTAGAGCTTACAAAATGATTACTGTAAACGAAGCTGTTGGTATTCTTGTTATATCAACTTGTTGATCAATATTTTACCTCGTCTTAGAAATTGTTCATACATAGAGCTACATGTATACACTATGATGCAAATAAAAAGATAAATGAAACAATTCCCAATGGTTTTTCTGATTTCTTGCCAATTTCAAAAATGAAGAAAATCATTTGAAAGGACATGTTCCCATGAAATGATACATGTAATACTACTTCGAATTATATTATCGTACTGAAATATTAATTTCCATTACAAGAAAAATGTGACCAATATTTGTGTGAAAAACCACGTGAACTTATAAATGCGCTGACCTGTATTCAGTACCATGTTGAAATACTGAAAAGTTACCTGAAGTCATCGTAATTATTATTAACAATGGCTACTTAATTTTAATGATAGCAAGCATTCTGAGAGTTTTGTATTAGTGCCTTACCAGCAAGTATAAAGTGTAAATTTGTTTCCAATAAAGATTTAAAATTCCACAATTCTGTCAAAAATCATTAAAATGGAACAAAATGTAAACTTGATTTATAATTAATCATGATAAAGTCACATCCCGGTTCCAATCATGAGCAATATATCTGCAAGGCTAAGAAAAAAATTGTGCAGACTGACTGACAGACAAATAGAGGGGAACTAGACGACCGGATGGACAGACAGACAAACAAACTGACGGACAGAGAAAGCCTATAATCCTTTTGATTCACTATACAACATAAAAAATACAAATGTTACACATAAAAATATCTTTTGATCATGGAATCTTACTTTCAGAATGCCCAGATGGAGGCTTTGGTTACAATTGTGAGGGAAATTGTAGCAGTTGTCCATTTACTGAAACATGTGACGCAATATCCGGACAATGCAATGGTATTATTATATAAATTTCATGACATAGAGTCTACCATATAGCGTGTTTTCTTGGCAAGTATAAAATTTGGCGTTTTCCCGCTCCAAACTATGCCAATTATTTTGGCGTAATTTATTTTAGCAGACACATTTTCTGATTAGTAGAAATTAAATGGAAATATATTTTTTTAAAATGTTCAAAGTTTTTTTTTTAGCACCCATCTAAAATAAATTTCCATAATGTTTCTGATAATTTATCTGCAAACATTTATATAATATTTCCGTAAATATTTTTTCTTATCTTAGGTTTTAAAAATACAATAAAAATATTGGGCAACAATTTTTGTTACAAATGAAATATATCGTCCTGATAATTTTTAATTAAATATTTGAAAATAGCATCGTATTTCCATTCTTATTATTGCTTTTTCATTTCCGTGAAAAGTCGGGAACAAATCGTATATTAGTTCAAAAGATTCTCGACAAAATGGGTATAACTCTTGTTCCGCCATGCGCTCGGCACTTTGAAGTGAAAGTTACTTTTTTTAAAAAGCTTAAAAAATCAAACGTTTCAGCGGCAGGCGTTTCAATGGCCCTGAGTATATTTTTTAAATGTCATAATTTGAAGCCCTTCACCGGCATACGTCGACGTCTTCATATGAGTGAAAGATTCTCGCGAGGGACATTTAAATAATATACAATCAATCAATCAATTAAATATTTGCAAAAAGCAATCCTAAATTCCAACTCAAAATTTCAAATCTGTATTATGAAATGCACACAATGGGGTCCTATTTTCTGACACTACGAATAATTTCATTTTTATTTAATTTATATGTGAATTTCACTTTAATTTTTGAATTTAAGCATTTAACACTTGGAAAACATAAGTTGGTAAACATAATTTTTAAGGTTATTCCTCCCTCCTATTATGTCATAGGATTTTGCAAAAACAGTTTTTAGTTTAAGTTCATACCTGATAGATCAATATCTTTTGGAGAAATGCTTTCCAATAGGTTTACTGATAAATATTGTTAACTAAAAGAATTATTCAATCTTTAAAAAATTTTAAAAATTGACAAGGGCAATAACTCCTTCTCAAGCCTCTTCATTCAGGGATTTGCTTTATTGTACTTCTAATATAAAATAGTTTCCTTGATATTCACAATTCAAAAGTATATTTTAAGTAGGAAATATTTAGGAACATTCAGTATCAGAATTATGCATATTAACCAGTTTTTACAATTTTTTCCATGATACTATTTGCAAAGAATAAGACATTTTGTTGTTGACATAAACTTCTTATTTATGTCTCCCATCTTTAATTATATGGTGACCTATACATTTTGTGTAAAGATAAGAATCTTTAAAGTATAATCAATCAGAATAAATGTTTTTGTACTTTTTGCCTTAATTCAGATTTCGACTGGAAATGCACGTTTGTTTTATTACAGTCATAATGAAATCACCCGAGTTTATTACAAGGAAACAATCCAAAGCCTTTCTGTTTGGAGTGATAACGTCTCTTTCCATAAGTGTTTGCTTAAACCTCGCTTTAATACTCTGGTGAGTTTGATTTTAAATGTTCCATTTATTTTTAAATTTGATCAGGTTTCTATTTTTGGAGGGAGACTGTCATCAACCATCATTTTATTTTCGATTTTTGATTTATTAAAAAAAACACATTTTAGGAATTGTACTAGAAATGGGTGCAAAAGAAAGAAGAACCAAGATAAAATTACAATACAATTGTCAACGAACCCTACAACACCTGATCCAAAGGTCATTGATGATGCTGGAGATAGTGAAGTTTACGAAGATCTAGATCAACATTCCATTTATGACGATGCACTTTAGTGTGAATTGATAGTATATGAGTTAGTACCTAAATATACATGAAATTTTATGCGCATTTGTATCACCGATCAACTAGTTCCTATTATTTAAAGGTTTGGATCTTAGTTTGACTCGTGTGTTCCAAGATACAAAACTAGAATATTTAAAGATTCTTTTTTTCAATATCTGGGTTCAGTATTATGGAACAATTTACCTTTTAAATATAACTAAAGGATGTATCCAATAATCAAACATGTAAATTCAAGACAAGAAAATTTATAGTAAAACAACAATATTGTATGACTGTATCATTTAGGAGATATTGGATGTGCGCAGCATTGTTAGGGCTTGAATAAAGGGGCGGGGCTTAATTTATACGGGAAATGTTTACTGTGACGTCACACAAAAATAGGGTGCAATTTGTATTCCTCATAATGCTAGAAAATCAAAAACTTTGCAATTTTAATCTGTATTTGCATAATAAACAATATCAAAACTTATCAATGCATTAAAAACAGTTGCTAGTTAAATTCCAGACAACAGTTTATAACAAATTACTGATCGCAGCAAACTTGTCGACATGACGTCATTTTGGTAAAAATGACGTAATTTATGTACTGTGAAAAGCAGATCAAGTCTATTTTCTACAACATAAAATGCATTTCATTAATAAACAGAAAATTATTTACAGAGTTTAAATAGGCTACTACTATCAATGTAAAACCTTTGTTTAGTGCGATTATTCTATGATTAGCGAGAGACTGTATGTAATTAATTTTGCCGTGTTTATGTGTACAGGTTTGACATGTTACCCATCGAGGTGGCTTATTAAATCGCCTTTTTGCAAAGGCATACACTTAATAGATGTTAGCGATTTTTTAAATATAAGTAAATGATGGTTTCCTTAACTGGAAAAATGCTGCTGCTTTCTTTAAATCGAGAGCGTGACTTAAAATACTTAGTAAAGGTCATACATATTTCAACATGAGCATATTTACTTAAACTTTTTACTAATAAAAAGCGAATTCTATATAAAGCAGCAGCACTTCCCAGAAAGTACAAAGTATGCAGAAACAAATGGTAACTAAAATTTTTAATTTCAAGCAGGGTATGCCCTTGCGATTTTGAAATTTGTTTATGACCTCCATTCAGTACACATACAATGCATTTATCACGTGACTGTCCATTGATGGGACCAAACTTAGTTTAGTACAGAGTGGGGTATACTATGTTATTTCAGTTAGTACTGAAGTTATGTATTAATAAAAAGGCCTTTTAAAAATAAATTCAGTTTTAAAAAAATCCCGTTTTTTGTACGTATATATTCCATTGATTTCTTTATAGTAGGTATTAACAGTGCTGCGTGTTGTTCATGTACATGTTTATTGTGTTAAATTACTATAGAATACATTACTTTTCAACATGTGTAGTTGTGATTAATATAACAGTCTCGAGGATTATCCATACAGTGGATTTCAATGAAATTTTCAAGAATGAAAGGTCTCTAAAAGCTGCTGACTTTCATTTGACAAAGAAATGTTTCTTACCTCTTGGTTTAGAAATTTGATCATTTTTGTATAATTACATTTTGCATTACATCTTTCTTAGATGAACCTTTTGAAGAGAATCTATGTTCATTTCTGTGTGTACTTTATTTTGGGGTCAGATGTCATAGCGGGACCAAATCGCTCGGCGAGGTGATATCTTGTTTACATATATATCTGTCTGTTTTCGTAACTCCCAAGTTAAACTTGATGAAAAAATAACGAACACATATAGATATTTTCCTTCAACAGATCTTCACTTGATCTTCCTTTGGTTTGAAGAATATTTTAAATACTATAATTACAGCCTAAAATCGGACAAACCTTTTAAATATGAAATTCCTTTCAAGTTATGTTAACTAAAATTGTGAATGTCACCGCTTTTGACTTCAAATATATTTAAAACTCATAAAATAGTACGAATTTTCTCAGTAGGGATCGTTGTTCTTCCATTATAAACACAGATTTCCTGAACTGGACTGCTGAACATTATTGTTAATATTCAAATGTTGGAGCCACAAGAACTATCAAAGCAAAGAACTTCAAGACCCCCTAAGTCATAGTGTGTCACAACATAACGTGTAATAAATGCAGTTTTACTATGAATATATTCGTCTTATATGTAAATATAAGTAAAAAACACCAATGTTAAAAAGTTAATCCTTGGGGCTTCACGAGAATTGATCACGTGACGAACTAAAAGTTTATTTAAAAGAGTACTTTTTAACATTTTTTTTTTGTTTCTTAAATATTTCTTTACGCAGCTTTTCTTCTAAAGGAGATATAAATAGTCTTTTCAATATTTTTTTTGGATATTTACAGAGCTTATAAAAGCTCTACTTAAAGATAATATAATATATTTCCTCTTTGGGAAAATTGATCACTCCAAAATCTAGAAATTCTCATCTCTAAATTTGAAGTAGAGAGGGCGTGGGAGAAGAGGCAGCTGAGCGATTAGCTGAACGAAACAACTGTACTATCATTGAAATTTGAAGGAAATGTTGGATTGACAAGCAGACAACTCGGGTTCAATTCCAATTTAGTCTTTCTATGAATGATTAACTAATGGGGATAGGTGATATAGGGGGTAAATAAGAAAATAAAAAAAATGTAGAAATCACTGCTTAAGTGCTACATGCAAGCATATGATATGTCATACATGTGTCTATATTGTGATATACTTTCCAAGGATCGAAATTCAGGCCATTGGCATACAACAAAATCTTTCCTCTTTTTGGTGATATATGATTTCTGTTTCATCAAGTTATATTCCTGAACATCTTTTTTCTTATTTGTAACTTTATCCTTTAAATAAATAGTTAAATACAATAAAGCATAGAATAATTTTTTTAGACTGCTTCAAGATCTTTTTTCTAGTTGTGCGTTTGTAGATCATTTATTACAAATACCAACAGAAATAATAAATTTACATTTTCAGAATGTAGCAGCAGGTTTGGCTTAAAAATATTTCACAAGAGGGACAATGAACGTACAGAGAAGAGTCTTTTCATCTGTTTATCTGTCTGTTGTCAACGTTTTTTAAACTTCTCCACAATTTTCGAACCGTGAGAGATAGAAACTTCACATTTAATATGCTTATTCCAATATTTAAGTTCTTAACAATGACCTTGTGACCTTGACTGTGACCTACCATAGGAGATACAAAATATAGAGGTCTCATATTTGGTATGTTTAGTCGACTAATTAAGTTTTATTTTTTTTTCAAATGGCACAAAGGTTCAATGACTCATATCCTAAGAAAAGACTTTTTTCGAACTTTGCTGCCACCCGGTGAAAAATGTTTCACAAACACATCTTGTTTATCATTTTTTATAATTAAGTAAATCGTAACCAATTCATGAATATCATAATTGTAATATGCTTATTTTCTAGAATTATTAAATTGATTTCGTCCTTCCATGATGTCATAGATAAAAAAAAAGTTATTCATTTAATTTCCAACAGAACAATATCTTTTTGAAAAAAAAATCCTTTTCAATTGGTGAAATGATAAATGTTAAATAAAAGAATTTTCAAAAATGTATATTTTCTTTATTTAATCAATTATTCAATATTTAAAAAAGTATCCCTTTGTTAGCAGATGTTTCGGAGCGATTGAACTAGTTTTAACTTGATTTGTCTAAAAACTGTTTTAAAAAAATATATGATTTTTTTTATATAGTTGCATACTTCTCTTAATTAATGTCTCCTATCTTAAATAATATAACAACCTATAGGTGTTTTTTGCAATAATTGGTTTAGTTAAACTATATTAAATGAAAATAAATGCAGTTTTTGTATTTTGAACCATTGTGGGGAAGGAAAAACCTTAATTTTTATTGAAATTTTCAGGGCTTTGATAATATTGATTAAAACAGGTATTCAACAATTGTAATAAACACAGAATAAAAGGAAATTCTAGACGTTCTGCAAAACTCTCGTTTTCTTTTCCTTCAATTCACAAAGAATACCCTAATATTAACAACGTTGTCCTTTATAGGATATATACAGACATAGTTCATAAGGTTTCTGAGAGTGTTGCCCTAGCAATAACTGTCGCCTGCCGGTAAGTGTAATAGTTTTTTCCTTAGGAAAGTGAATATGCAATGAAATAAAAATGCCATTATACCGTTAAAATTCGTTGAAGCGGAATAAATAGCATACCTGAGATTTAACTCTTTAAGGTCAAGTGGTATACTAAAAGTCACCAGTATATTTTAAACCTCATACAATCGTTCAGCGATTATGTCTCAATCATTGAACTATGATTTCAAAGGTTTTATGTTCTTGTGTAACAAAAAGATAGCCTAAAAAAGAAATCATAAGTGATGGAAAATCCAATATTTTTCTTAGTTGAATAAGGAATTTATTTCACTGGGGAGGTAGGATTTTTTTAAATTATTTTCACTCCTAAATACAAATAGTGAGATTTAAAAAAAATCAGTCCCACTAATGAAATCAATTCTACATTAATATCCGTTTAGAATACATTGAATATCCTTTGTCTAATAAACAAATGAATCATAAGGAGAAAACGAACAGTATTCAAGATCAAAAGTCCATAGAAGAATCCAAAATAGGAGCAGAGCAAACACGGACCTCCAAACATCAGATGTGGGATCAATTGCCGAAGAGGAATGAGCATCCCCTGGCGAACTGGTCACAACCGCCGTGTGGTCCTTTTCATGATGGGAAAATAACGGGGAAATCTAATAAACGAAATAAAAGGGGGGGGGGGAATCTAGAAAAAAAATTCTAACATGTTTACAATCAAAACGTGTGTTACTACATTTAAAATTAATGAAATGTGCCTTTTTTTAAGAAAAAAATTTCTTTCTTTTTTCCTTCTTTTTTTCCTTTTTTTTTTATTTGTTTTTTGTTTTTTGTTTTTGTTTTGTTTCGTTTTTGTTCTTGTTTTTTTTTGGGTTTCTTTTTGTTGTTTTGTTTTTGTGCTTTTTTTTTCTTATGAGAGTACATTGTGAACATAAGGCCTCACATAAATTCGGAAATAACTAAGTAATGCTTTTTTTTTTTAACTTACATCATTCATTAAAGAAAATGCTATAAATGTCTTCATTTTGCTTCCCGTTTCTAAGTTATTCCGTATTACATTACATGAACAGCTGAGCAATGTTGTTTTATTTTCTTGGCGAATTAATATTGATTGGAAATATAGTAAATGCCTATGGTAAGATATTTTATTTTTATTTAAATAATTCTTATTCTTTTATTGAATGTTTTGTCAATTTGGTTCTT